CTCCTTTGGCATGTTTAGTATTTTTAAAGGAATTAGAGGAAATAAAGATAATAAAGGTATAAGAAACTATCAAAATTGATGAAGCAGATTTGAAAACTTACAGAAATAAAGAATACAATAATTGAGAGTAGAAACTCAAAGGACCGATTAACCATCAATTTGACATCCAGAGGGAGAATTGGTTAACTGAAAGATCACCTGAAGAGTTTTCAAGATGTAACACAGAGAGACAAGGAAATAAAATATACGAGAGGTCGAGATACATGGAGGATAGGGTAAGAAGAGTCAACAAATGTCTAATTAAAATTCAAGAAGGAGATAGTAATATGAAGGAAGGCAGTATTCAAAGAAATAATAGCTGCACATTTTTCAGAATAGATGGTAAATATCCTAAATTCGGGAAGACCAAAAATTGCCACACTGAAAAACTACAATGAAATTCATACTTGGTCAGTTCACAGTGAAAGTTCATGACATCAGAGTAAAAGGGGATCTTAAAATTAGGCAGCAAGAAAAGATAGATTAATCTTCAAAGAAATGACAAATTGGCTGGCAGCTGACTTTTCAACAGCAACAAGAGAAGTCAGAAGACATTGTAATGTATCTTCAAAATGGTAAGAGAAAATTGCCATCAACTCCAAATCCAGTGAAATGACATTTTAAGGAGGACAGAAAAATAAAAATATTTTCAGATAAACAATATAAGAACTGAAAAATTATATACAATTCACATTTTAAAAAAGAATTTACTTGGTGCAGCCGCTAGAGAGGATAGTATGGAGGTTCCTTAAAAAACTAAAAGAAGACCTACCATATGATCCAGCAATCCCAATCCTGGTCATACATCTGGAGAAAACTGTAATTCAAAAAGATACCCACACCCCAATGTCCATAGCAGCACTATTAACAATAGGCAAGACATGAAAACAACCTAAATGTCCGTGACAGATGAATGGATAAAGAAGATGTGGGGTGTATGTATATATACACACAGACACACACAGACACACACACACACACACACACACACACACACACACACAGGAATATTACTCAGCCATAAAAAAGAATGAAATAATGCCATTTGCAGCAACATGGATGGACCTATAGATTATCATATTAAGTGAAATAAGACAGAGAAAGACAAATACCATATGATATCATTTATATGTGGAATCTAAAAAGATGATTATGTATAAAACAGAAATAGATTCACAAACATAGAAAACAAACTATGGTTACCAAAGGGGAGGGGAGAGGAGGAATAAATTGGGAGTTTGGGATTAACATACACACATTACTATATATAAAATAGATTAAAAAAACACAAGGGCATACTACTGTATAGCACAGGAAGCTATATTCAATTTCTCGTATAAGCTATAATGGAAAAGAATATGAAAAAATATGTATATATATATATATATATGTGTGTGTGTGTGTGTGTGTAACTGAATCTACTTTG